GTCCCTCGGCCCCCTCTCTCCGTCCCTTGCACCCCCCTCTCCGTCCCTCGCCCCCCCATCTCCGTCCCTCGCCCCCTCTCTCCGTCCCTCGCACCCCCCTCCGTCCCTCGCCCCCTCTCTCCGTCCCTCGCCCCCCCATCTCCGTCCCTCGCCCCCTCTCTCCGTCCCTCGGCCCCCTCTCTCCGTCCCTCGCCCCCTCTCTCCGTCCCTCGCCCTCTCTCTCACTGCTGCCTCACTGCAGCCCAGGCCCACACACGCTTTTGATGAATCCGTCCGTCCCCAGACATCCACGCAGCACCCACTGCGTGCGGCACCCCCGAGACCCCCAGCACACGGACTTCTCCACCAGACTTGGCCTGGCATAGTTGAGTGAATGAACTGACCACAGCTTAGCAGACACACTGGCATCACCCCACTGGATGAAGAATGAACGGGGCACAGGTAACCCCGTAAGTGGCCTCCACGTTCCCATCGCTCCCATGGGCAGAGCTGAGGGATGGCCTAGGAAGGGAACAGACAACCCGCTGAGTTCAGGTGGAGGCCACGAGAAGGCAGCCCGCCGGCCGCCACAGCAGACCAAGATCCGGTTGATGGCGAAGAGAAGAAGGAAGCCCATGGGGTTCCCAGGAGCGAACCGCTTGCCTTCCTCTGCTGGGCCTGGGGCCCCACCCCACATGCCCGCCTTCTCCCCCCAGGAGAGCCTGGGGCCCTTCCCGCGGGCTCGCACAGAAGGGCCAGAATCTCACCCCCGCCCCCCACCCCCCCGCTCGCCTCCTCTTCAGGCTGAGCGCCTGGAGGCGGCCCCAACGTGTCTCGGGACAGACAGCCTGTGACAGGAGTCACAGCGAGGCGTGGAGCTGCCCGTTCTGGACGCTCCAGGCTCCCGCCTCGGCGTCACTTCCTGCGGCATCCGGGGTCTCCTGCGGGCCGGAGGCAGTGTCCCACACACAGTTCGCGACACCCCATAGCTGCTGGAACCGCCTGCAGCAGCTCGTGTCCACCAGGACCCTCGTAAGAGCAGTGACTTCACGCTGGAGACTGAGACACGTGTGACGGCCCGACCAGCAGTTCCCACACTTGACCTTCAACAGAATCACCTGGCGGCTTATTAAAACTCAACTGCTGGGCGCTGGGCCCCAGCCCTGGAGTTTCTGGGTAAGTCCTGGGTGGGGCCTGGGACTGCATTTCTAACAAGGTCCCAGGTGAGCCCGATGCTGCCGGTCGGGACCACACAGAGAGCCACCGGCCCAGGTCAGCAGGCCATCGAGGAGACCGCGACACTGTCACTGACTGAAAACCCCAATCAGTTCCTTACCTGCAGGGGGCCCCTCCCCTGTGAGCAGCAGTGCCCGTTAGCTGGCACCACCCACACACGGGGACGCAGGCGAGCACCTGGCCTCCGCCACCTGCTCTGAAGGGACAGGACGCTGCCAGGCTGAAGCAGCCGTCTCATCGCAAAGACAACGATAATGATTACCATTATTGAAACTAATGGGCCAATAATTCATCTTGATCAGAAGTCAGTGACAAATGCAGAGGTCGGCTACAGTCACCCCTCTTGTCCGGGGCTCCAGAGTGGGGGAGGAGCAGGAAGGGAATTTCGCCGCTATCTGGGGAGAGCAGCAGGAATTTCTGGAATCCCTTATCTTCCCTGCAGCCCAAACACAGATGCTCAAGCAACTCAGTGAGTCCAGGAGCGGCAGTGGGGGTGCTGGGGAGGCAGGAAGCTTTCCCCCGGCACCCCAAGTGGGCTGGAGGACACACAGAGAAACACACTGGGCGGTGCCCTCTGGCCCCTGGTTGGAGCACAGAACACCCTGAGCAGGGCTGAGCCCAGGACAGAGTGTCAGGAGCAGAGAAGAGAGACTCCCCAAGCAAGAAGCCGCTGAGGCCGAGGAGCCGGGCAGGAGGAGCCGGGCAGGAGGAGCCGGGCAGGAGGGGCCACAGAGTAGTGCCCTCCACCTGCGAGGAGGGGCCCTCCCACCTGGACGCGGCTGTGGGAGTGGGCAGTGGTCTGGGGACACTGACACGCTGAGAGAAAACCAAACTGAGGCCACTGAGGGACCGTCTAAGATGGCAGGAGTCCTCAAAGCTGTCCAGGTCGCCAAACACAAGAGAAGACTGACCAGTGGCCATCACCAAGAGCAGGCCAAGTAGGCGTGACAAGTAAATGCCCCGCGGTGCCCCAGGTGGGACCCTGGGGCAGAAGAGGGATGTGACTTACTCATGACAAGGCGTGTCAGTGTGACAAGCACGCCCACACGGAGGTGTCACTCGGAGGAGGGCTGGGGACAGGAACCGTCCGCACTGCCCACGTAGGAGTCTCACAGCAGACTGTTGAGTGTGTTCTGAGAGAGGAGGCGGGGAGCGCGGCAGCCAGAGAGCTGTGGGGGTGACAGGCGCCGGGAACAAGACTGGAGGCCAGGCCGCCCCCCGCACAGTGGAGCACTGGAGGTGTCAGGGCAGACAGGCAGGCCTGGGGCGGGGGGTGCTCCCAGGGTGCAGGGGCCCTGTGTGTGAGGCCAGCACCGAGGCCCGGGGTCTACTGGATGAGGCGCAGGGGCTACTGGAGTGAAGATCACGAACCAGCTCTCTGGACAGCGCCCGGCTGCTGACTCTGGGCCCCGCAGCAGTGCCCCGCAGAGTCAGGGTGGGCTGCAGATCACTGGGCCTGTGGGGCGGCAGAGTGGCAGCCCGAGCGGCCCTCCCTGGAGGTGACACCCACCCCCACTCAGCTGCGACGCCCACTGCTCCCTCAGAAACCCCGCGGGAGAGCCCACGGGTCCATCCTGAAGACTGCCCAGCCGGCTCCCCCCGCGGGAGAGCCCACGGGTCCATCCTGGAGACTGCCCAGCCGGCTCCCCCCGCGGGAGAGTCTCTGGGTGTAAGCTGCACGCCAGTAGAAACAGCCCGACCCCAGCAGGTCTGGTCTGCGCACAACCCTCCTGGCCTCGGCCCTGGTGCCTCGTTCCCCTGGAAAGAGCAGCTGGTTCTCCCTTCCCAGAACCCTCTTCCGTCTACCCGACCAGCGAGAGCGGCACAGACACAGGTCTGTGCAGGAAAGCTTCTAGCAGGGGGGGGGAGTCCACAGGCCAATGGATGACACCTGAGGACAGACTCGGGCCACAGTAAGAAGGGGTGCTTCCCAGTTGGAAGGGGGCCCCAGCATGTGCAGGGCGCTCAGCAGGGTCATCACTGGGCCCAGGGTGCCAGGCAGAACCCACACGCCTGGCTCGGGTCCAGTCTCCAGTCCGCAGGTGACGAGCCTCCTCCAGACCTGCCCGAGACACCTGAGCCTGGGGTGCCCGGGGGAGGTGGAAGCAAGTCCACGCACAGTGACGGCCACCGCGGACATCTGCCGAGGTGACAGGGCCTCTCTAGCTGAGGACGGAGAGGGAGACATGCGTTTGAGAAATATTTAGGAGGCTGGCGGGTGACTATGTGGGGGCTACTGACAGAGAAGAGTCTGGTGGCCCGAGGCCCCCGGCTCACAGGGTGCACGGACCAGACGCCTTTCGACGAGATGGAACAAGCAGGGAGGGAGCAGAGCAGAGAGGGGCCGCAAAGTGCATGGCTTTGGCTTTGACATATTGAACTGAAGGGCCTTGGGGACTTCCAAATGAGGGTGTCACACAGGACATATGAGCCTCAGAGTCTACAGAGAAGTTTATAAAAATCCAGTAATGGCCTTATTTGCATCTAGTGCTGGCCACTGTCTGGCTGCGTTCCCAGACTGGACACAGGCTGCTGCCGGGCGGACGCTGTGACACGGGGCCTCACAGGTCTGTGCCCGGAGCTGGGGGAGCCCCAGCGGAGGTGAGTCTGGCCCCTCTCTGGGGGCTGCACCCCTGCACTGCCCCGTCCACGGCCCTGCGCAAGCTGCAGACGGGGTCAGGGAGATGGCATCTAATGGGCAGGCAGGGCACGGATGATAATGCTGTGACCCTTATCACCGCTGCGGAACTCGGGGACCGGCCAGGCTGGGAAACCTGCGCCCTGTGAGCCCATGAAAGCAACCAGCGGCCAAACCCGCCCGTCCTGCCCTGGCCTCGTGCTGTCCAACATAAAAGGACAGTGTCGGGAACAGCCCTTCACACAGACGCCCGTGCCCTAGTTCCTGAAGGGAGGGGAGGGGCACAGCCGCTGGACTGCAGTGAGCGGGATGGACACGCACACCAGACCCTGCCCGTCGGCACAAGCTGCGGACAGCACCCGGAGCAGCTGCCAGCTCATCTCTCCTCTGATTTAATGAGCTTCTCATTAAGCACTGGAAGCCGGTCCCCGGGGAGCGCCTGGCACCTGGCCACTCGGCAGACAGGTGATGAGGGAGCAGTGGATTCCTCCCAAGACAGAGCCCACACCAGGCTGCCTCCAGACCATCCGGCCACCCCAACACTTGCTCACTCCAAAAAGTCAGCACGCTTCTCACTGACCCCAAACCTGCCTTCAAGTGCACAAGCCCAGCGCAACCCCTGTGCCGGGCAGACAGCTCACAGGGACCGGAAGAAACGCCATCCCTGCCCCTCTCTGCGGACACCAGAGGGAATGCTGACCATGTTCGTCCAGAGGACTCCGAACCGTGGGAGGACCCTTCAGAGCCTAAAGCGGCACCCAGGAAATGTTGAAATCCCACATTTGCTCTTCAAGTTGCACATAAACCTCCTTTTACATACCACAGTGAATGGCTTCGTGTTCTTCACATTCGGAGCTAATTAACAGCGACTTATCAGACCTTTCCCTCAAGTCTTTGAACAAATACAACAGCCCCCACCCTCTCTCTCCCAGCAGGCCCCACATCCTCCAGGACGACAGGCATCTCGGTTTGAGAAGCAGCAGACTGGGAGGGGGAGAGGGTGGCTGCCGCCGCCACCCATCCATCCTGACCCTGGCCTGGAGTCAGGTCGACCCCCAGCTCAGCCGCTTCCCTGCAGTGTGGGCAGAGGGTGCAGGTGTGCGGAGGGGTGCCTCCCCCCTGCACTCCGCCCGGACCCCAGGCTCACCCGGATCCGGCGCATGGCAGCCACGATCTCCACTCTGCTGTTGGGCCGAGGCACGTCCAGGCTCCCGACGTACTGTGGGGAAGAGAAGGCTCGGTGAGAACAGGGGCGGCGTGACCCTAGTCACAGCGTGGGAGCGGTGGGCGGGCCTTCAGAGGTCACTGGGGTCATCTCCCCATTTCACAAGAGCCAAAGGGGCGGCCACTTCCGAAGTAATTTATAAAAAGCAAAGAGACCACCGCTCCCTCTTCCGTGCTGTCCCCTCACCAGAGACGCAGCGTCCACTCAGGAGGCTCCGGTGAGGAAGGTCCTGTGAGGTCCCCCAGCACCAGCCCGTGGCCCGAGGTGGCCGTCCTGTCACCTGCCTCACCTGTGACATGGGGTTCCAGTCCATGTCACAGGAGATAAGGTATGTCTCTAACAAAACTGCTGTGCACATAGTAAAGCCCCCCCAAAAAAGGAAAAGGGATTTTTTTAAATTAATGGCAGATCATGGAGTGAGCCCTGGGTTCTCAGAGAACTCACATGCTTGAGTGAGTTCCTAATTGGAGGAAAGGAATGGACTAATTATATTTTAGTAAGATTTTTAACCTGGCCCTGGCCGGTTTGGGTCAGTGGTTAGAGCATCGGCCTGCGGTCCAGAGAGACCCAGGTTCGGTTCCCACTAAGGGCACGTACCTCACTTGCAGTTTGTCCCCAGTCCTGGTTGGGTCGTGAGGGTGGCAGCCACTCGATATATCCTTTTCACATCAATGTTTCCCTCCCTCTCCCTCCCTCCCACTCTATCTGAAAAATGAAAAAAAAAAAAAAATGTCCTCGGGTGAGGATAAAAAAAAAAGATTTTAAACCTGATTATACTATTATTTTTTTAATGACATGTAGATTAATTTTAATAGTTTAATAATTTGTCACTGTACACTATTCAAATAATATGCAAAAGACTAGACTCCCACCACCAACAGCCACACACACACTGTACGCGGACAGACACCCGTTCCTAGATACACTGCACACGGACAGACACCCGTTCCTAGATACATTGCACACGGACAGACACCCGTTCATAGATACACTGCACACGGACAGACACCCGTTCCTAGATACCTAGTATTTATTTCACGTAAAGAGATTGTATCACTCGCTGTTCTGCAGCCTGGCCTTTTGCTCCAAGTACAGCGTGAGCGTGTTTGCCGACCCTGGGCTTTCCCTCTCCTCACACACCGTCCGACGAACAGCCCACGGCTCCCCTGGAACTTGGCCCAGAGTAACTGCAGACCATCCCAGCTGAGACTGCAGCCGGATTAAGAAGGACGTCAGGACGTGTTTCCTGTGGCCACGGGACAGCAGGTACTACCTGAAACCGGGCGCTGGCCCCAGCGAGCAGGGTTTCAAACCATAAACGGTGCACAAGGGTGCCCCCTGGTGCCGCCCCGTCTGTGCTCATACACGGGGCAGCAAAGACCCCAGCGGCCAGTGGTGAGCAGGGAGCACACTGGGCCTGGCCCTCGAGGAAGCCCCACCAGGAGAGTGGGGAGCCCCTGGTGACTCGCTCAGGTAAACAAAGCCCCCAGGCCCAAGAGTCCGGTCAGATTCACAGAAGTAGGCATTTCTCCATCTGAGCTCTGCCAGGGTGTAGCCCTCAGCGACCTGCACAACCAGGGCGACACCAGGCCTGTTCCGCGCTGTGTGACCTCAAAGGCCCTCCAGCCAGCGCGGTCTGCGCACTCCTGCTGGGCGCTCGGCCAATGCTCGTCCAGAGTCCTGGAGCAGTCGGACTGGCTGGGCTGCTGTTCCCCAGCGGTCACATTGGTGCCAGGACTTCAGGAGCGAGCAGGGTCACGGTGACAGGTGGGCCAGGGGCTGCACGGTCCTCGCACCCTGATCTCTGCCGGCCGGGGAAGGGCTGCTGCCCAGGGAGACCCACAGCCAGGCCTGAACACCCGCCCAGATGGGCCCATCCCACTGCTACCCTCGCCCAGTTATCCCCTCAGGAAGGGGCCCTGCAGCCTCAGGGAACAAGTGCGCACAGCTCTGGGGGGGTCCTCCCGAGGGGGTAGCAGCCTGCGGGGGTCACCTGAGGGCCCCAGCAATGGCTCCACCAGACACAGCCCCCTGGTGCCAAGCACACCCACCTGTCGTGCACACACGCAGCACACACGCCCCACAGCCCACGTGCGCTTGCGGGTTACCCTCTCGCCTTCCTTCCAGTGGGGAAGAAATCGCAATGCCCCCTTTCCGAGGGAGTCGGAGCCCACAGCCCCACCCTCCTGGGTCAGAGGCAGTAGCAGGAACACCAGGTGGGGTCAGGTCCACACCTCCTGTTCTAGCCGCGGTGTGTGCGCACACACACCACTCCATCTGAATGTCTCACCCCCACCCTCCTGGGTCAGAGGCAGTAGCAGGAACACCAGGTGGGGTCAGGTCCACACCTCCCGGTCTAGGCCGACTGTGCACACTCCACACTAACCACACGAGTCAGAGCGGAGCCGCGGTGTATGCGCGCACACACCACTCCATCTGACATGTCTCACCCCCACCGAGAGGATCTCGACAAGGAGCCACAGCCACCTCCGCAGTCACTTCAGTCTGTCCTGAGGCTCCAGCTGTAAGAGGCAGGCGGAGTCCAGATCCACCTGCTGGTCCAGCTCGTCTCGTTTCTGGGGTGAACAGAACCTGGGCTGGTGCCCCCCCCCCCCCGAGACTGGAAAGCTGGCTCCCAGGCCTGAACCACCTGCTGAGCCAACAGAGATCCAGGCTTCTGTCACCTCCTACAGGGACCAGGCAAATCCACGTCCCTGCCTGCCATCAAAGGCTAATGCCTGGGGTAGGTGACCACTCAGAACAGCATCACCTGCATCTGCCGCCTCCTCAGGCCCCCAGGTGCAGGGGCTCCTGGGATGGCAGAGGTGTCAGCTCAGTACCTGGAACTGGAGGAATTCTTCCTAAATGGCAGCTGATGGTCTCTCCTCTCCGTGCCCAGGTCTTGCTCCTCCCGACCTTCCTCGTCTGACTCGCAGCCCCAGCACATGCACAGGTGGTACAAGCCTGGAGCCTGGGGCTCAGCCCAAATGAGCTTCTCCCTTATCCACCACAGCTAACTAGTGGCCAGGACCTGCCAACTGCTCTCCTCCACCTCCCCATCCACCCTGCCCCTCCCTGGTCCCAGAAAAACCTTCCTCTCTCACTCACTGTATGCAAGGAGCCCCTTCTCCACGGCCCCATGGCCTCTCCAAACCACCCTCCACCAGGAAGTCAGAGAGATCTTCCAAATGCAAATCAGACCCTGTTACCCCTTGTTTAGGAGCCTGCCATGCTTGCTGCCAAAGTTCCAGAGATGACAACTGAAGGCCTCAGCGTGGCCTGCCCCTCCTACATGCCCAGCTTCCGCTCAGACCACCGGCCTCTCCATCATTCAGGAGGTCCTCGAACTTACCACATTGTCTCACAGCCAAGGATTCCACACTGCTGTTCCCTGTGCACAGAATGTTCCCCTCCACCCCTCTCTCCACTCCTCCAACATCTACGCCCATCTCTACTCCCTCCTGCTGCCCCAGAAAGGTGAGATGCCCACACAGTGTCCTGTGACCTACAGTGCTCTCAGCACGGACACAGCCAAATATACGCGTTCATCCCATGTTCATGGTTGGTTATGCCTAGCACAGGTCCAGGCCCACACCTGACTGAGTAGAATCCTCCAACAATGTAGGCATGTTCACCCCACTGCTCGCTGGGAGAATCCCCACTCTGAGGAGGGGGAGGAGGAGGCCTCAGTGCTGGATTCTGCCCCATTTTCCAACATCATCACCAGCTACCCACCCGTACTCCAGACTGAGTCCCTAAGCTCACCTGAATTTTACCCAGGTGCCCGACTGAACCCAAGCCAGATGTCCCTACAGGAGCACATGCAATCCCGACTTGCCCAGCGATGAGGGTAGAGTCCTGTTGGTGACTTTTAACAGCTGGGCATTCTATTCTGTAAGATTTTACAGGGTCTATGTGCCACCTTCCAGGGTCCCTGCTGTGAGATACTGCAGGGCCTCTATTCAGAGCATCTACACAGAGGGTAAGGGAAAGGAGCTTAAAATGTCAGGGCCTGCCTCTTTTTCATTAGCATCGAAAGAAAAGGCTAGAAGGAACAACGGTGCTGGGCAATCCAATACGAGGTTACCTTGTCAGTCTGTCTGTGGCATCACCTTCCAGATAAGCAGGCGTTAACTGCAAACAAGGTTCACCAATGGACTCCAAGTATTTCTATAAGTTTCTGGACAACCTCAGCCTCCATGCGAGATTAGTGCCTGATGAAGTTTTCATTTTCTTGAGTCCACCCTCTTTTCTGAAGATTAACTTCTGAAGACAATGGTAAACTAAACTGTAGTGGCTCCTGGTACATGAACCACAACACAAAAGCAGCAAGTCCTAACAGCTTGACACAGCTACCAATATTGTCACCACCCCCTGACTTGTTAGACTTTCCACCATTGCCCTCGTCAGGGTACTCCCTTCACTTACAAGTGTTTCCAGAGACCAGGAAAAAAACTTATGTATGAATAAAAAATAAAAGCATTAGGTGACTCTGCCTCTAACAACGTCGGAGCAACAGTATCAGCAGATGAGGCCTCCTTCTAACGGCAAATAGAAAGTCTGGACCAGACGCACAGTAACTGCAGAGCACTGGAGTCTGGGCCAGACGCACAGTAACTGCAGAGAACTGGAGTCTGGACCAGACGCACAGTAACTGCAGAGAACTGGAGTCTGGACCAGACGCACAGTAACTGCAGAGAACTGGAGTCTGGACCAGACGCAAAGTAACTGCAGAGAACTGGAGTCTGGACCAGACGCACAGTAACTGCAGAGAACTGGAGTCTGGGCCAGACGCACAGTAACTGCAGAGAACTGGAGTCTGGACCAGACGCACAGTAACTGCAGAGCACTGGAGTCTGGACCAGATGCACAGTAACTGCAGAGAACTGGAGTCTGGACCAGACGCACAGTAACTGCAGAGAACTGGAGTCTGGGCCAGACGCACAGTAACTGCAGAGAACTGGAGTCTGGGCCAGACGCACAGTAACTGCAGA